CTATTTATTAGGAGGGAGGGAGCCTGTCTGGGGTATTCTGGAAGGCTGTGTTTTCAGTTTCAACAACTCAGTAACTCCCAATGGAGACTGCCTAAGCAATTGGAGATACAAGCTGGGTTCTCAGGGAGCTCAGCTCTTAGTACAGAATAAAGGCAGACAAGCAGAGAAATTGCCAAAATTGTGCCTGCCAAGACGGCAAAGGCTAGCCTGAACTTTATGTAGAAAGGAATCGCTTCCAGAGGCTTTTTACTGAAATGTAGCTTTGCTTCTCTCTCAATTTTCCTCCTCTCTTCATTGACTCGGAGCAAAACAAAATTCACACTCATGCCTTCACAAGAAAGGAAAGGGATGTTACCAAGGATCTACTTGTTACCAAGAAAGGAAAGGGATGTTACCAAGGATCTACTTGTTACCAGGTTCTGTTTTGTGTACTTTTGGAGCATATTAGTCACACAGAACCAAGACATTTGACTTCTCCCAACCTCTTGTCTCTAAGTTGATAACACATAATTTTGCTCAAAAGATTTTACTCATTTAGTTTTTTAATCAAACACTCAATAATGCTTTCTATGTTCACTTTACAAGTGGTAATTCATTTAATCCCCATAACAATCCAGCCAAATAAATTCTATTATCTCCATTTTATAGACAGTAACACTGAGGTTTCAGGAAGTCAAGTGAGTTCACTAAAGGTTATGTTAGCAAATCACATTGCTAAGATTTGAATTCAGACCAGCTTGCTTTAGTATCCATGTTCTTTTTTTTTAAAGACAGAGTGAGAGAGGAGAGAGAGAGAGAGAGAGAGAGAGAGAGAGAGAGAGAGAGAGAGAGAGAATTTTTTAATATTTATTTTTTAGTTCTTAGCAGACACAACATCTTTGTTGGTATGCGGTGCTGAGGATCGAACCCGGGCCGCACGCATGCCAGGCAAGCGCACTACCACTTGAGCCACATCCCCAGCCCAGTATCCATGTTCTTAGCAACTAAGCTGTGAAGTATAATTAAACACCTAGTGCAGTATTGCTACATTATGGGCACCTAATGAATGGTGACTCTCCTTCATTTTTAAAAATTTCACTGAAATTCCTACTGCAATCTCCATTTTTATAATTAAGAAAACTGGAGCTCAAAGAAGTTTAATAACCTGCTCAAGAATGCACTGTTAGTAAATAAGGGATCTACAATTTGAACCTAGGAATAATTGGCTTCTGTGTGTATCATTTCCCTCCACTAGGCAGTTATAGGGACCACTGAAGTGCACGTGGGTCTAAACCACTGATAGGAGATACTTGATTAAAAATGATCTTCCCTCATGTGTAACTAAAAAGAACAAATAAAAAAATTGTTAAAAAAGAATGATTTCCCTTCCCAGCCACTTACTGAACAGAGTGGCTTCCACTTAGTTACCAAGAAGGCCATGAATCTTTTAACAGATTTGGTGGCTAGAAGAAGCAGTCTCAAAATTTCCACAATCTTCAGGAATCCCAGCTATCAACTTTCCCTCTATGGGAGGCCCTACACAGGAACAGCCTAGTACCTACTGTACCTTCTAACTTTTTTGAACATTTGGAGTTCTAAGTAAACCTTTACCACCACCACCATCATCATTATCATCATCTTTGGATTCTCAGAAAGCCAACCATCTTCTTCATAGCTACCATTTATTCAATTCTTTTCAGGTGCTATTCTAGGAACTTCCCATGTATTAGCTCATTTCATCCTCAAAACAATGTTATCAAGAAAGGACTTACTATTCCTGCTTCATGTGTTAAGAAATGGAGGCCCACAGGATAAGTAACCAAAGGCATGTGACCCTGAACTAATAGACTTACTGGAGTTCACCCTGGGATATGTTGATCATTATAAAATATTATTAATTATTATGGGAAAGCTAAAGGCACAACAGAACAGGAAACTGGACTTTAAGAGCCAAACTGCTAAAATTACATAACTTTCCCTGTGGAGTGAGCTCTTACATTCAACATAATAGTAAGAACTCTCTGGCACCACAAAGCATTCCTACAATTCATTGCTCCTGGGTCAAGCTTCTGAAAAGAAGTTTCCAGACTAGATTATGATTCCCAGATTGGAAGGCAAAAATGGTAGTTGTGGATTTACTCTGAACTTACTATGTGACCTTATGCAAGTAATTTCCCTTCTCTGGGCCTCATCTTTAAAAGGTAGATAATAATAAATATTCTACTAACAGTACACTGTTGTCGATGTGAGTAAATGGAAATGTTGAAGAAGGTGTTTTAAGTGTCAAGTATATTATCAATATAAATGATGACTTTTCTTAGTCCTGCTCCCCTCCTATCCCTTTTATTTGCCCCCATCCCCTTTATTTCATTTCACTCTATTTTGTTCCTTTAACTCCCTTCTTTACTTTCCTATAATCAGGTTTTGGGCTTACCTGCAGTATTGCACCTAGGTAGGCAAAAAGGAACCCAGTTTAGGGGCAAAGAGACTTGAGTCTGAACTGGCTTTCCCCATCCAAGTATTTTGCTGGGCAATTATTTGACCCTTTTTGAATCTGTTTTATCATCTGTAAAAAAAATGAAGATTGTGATGATTAATATAGATTGTTTATTGATTGGATTAAGGAGACTTTGGGGTGAGCTGATGAGGATGTTTTCAGATATTATTGACATGTGGAACAGTAAACTGAGAGGGGTAGCCCCACCCTAAGTGTGGGGCAGTGCAGCTCAATGAACTGGGAGCATGGTAATAAGGAGGTCAGAGGAAGGAGAAGCAAGAGCACATGCAGATGCTGTTTTTGCTCTCAGATGGGTGCTTGGCTTGCTGCTTCAAACACCTGAGGACATCACACACCAGCTCCTTCATTCTTCCAAAATGGACTCTCACTGAATGACTCTCCAGGGAGTTTACCAGGCATCCTCCAGTCCTAGAATTGGGCTGCATCATTGATCCCTTTTCTTCTGAGGCTCCAGTGTTTTGAACTGAACAGCTACTCTTTCCTCCAGCTCTCCAGTCTGCAGAAGGTCATTGTGGGACAATCCAGCTGCTGATACTTTAAGTCAATCTAGTAAATCACCTTTTATAATCATATATAAACAGAACCTGTTGGTTCTTTTCCTCTAGAGAACCCTGAATAATATGGACACTGCATTACCTTCCTTGCAAAGTTGTAGGCAGAAAATGTGGTAGATTGCCTTCAAATGTAAAACTAATTCTTCCCATCTTTAACATGCATGCAGCTCCTTCCATTAAAAGGAGAAGTCTTTTTTCCCCCCACTTTTCCCACCTCTTAAATCTGAGCTGGCCCTGTGACAGTTTGTTCAATATGGTACTATTGCAGTACTGTTGCTATATGACTTCTGGTTTTATGCCAAAAGAATTGCCTTGCAGCTTTGGGTTTCACCTTCTTAGAAGCCAGCTGCCTGATGAAATGTGTCATTACTCTACTGGATAGAGAAGCCATATGGAGAAAGAAAGACCCTGAAGGATAAAAAAAAAAAACAAGAAAAAGAAGATAGGCTTCCAGCCTACAGCTATTCCAGCTGAGGGGCCAGATTACAGTATAGTCATCTAGGATCCTCTGGCCCCAGCCAAGCTGTCTGAAGAGTGCATGGAATAGAAGTTCATCACTCTCAGCCAATCCTGCTCAAAACATAGAGCCATGAGCAAATAAATGTTGGTTGTTTTAAGCCAGTACATTTTGGGGTACTTTGTTTCACAAAATATAAAATAGAGAGTAGTGCCCATCCAAGTGGTGCTCACCAAGGCCTATACTGGGTAAGATGTATCCTCATTTACACAGATGAGTACCCTCCCTTTGCCCAGTGAGCCTGGGCTATCTAGAAAACAGGGATATGGCTGAACAAACCCTGAGGTAATGGAGTAATGTCAAGAAAGACGAATAATATTTATTTTGACTGCTCATCTGATCTACTTGATCTCAGAAGCACAGGGAATAAAAGGAAATTAACATTTATTGAGTACTTATTATATACCTGACATTGCTCATAACAGCCCTCTAAAGTAGGTGCTATCATTTTCCCTATTTCCAAATGAGAGCAATGAGGTACAGAGTGGTTTTTGTCAGTATTTAGGCTGTCTGGGAAGCACTGAGACAGTGTAATAATAGGGTAGTAAAGGAAACCCTTGGGAGCAATATTCACATAAGAGAAAAGACATGGGGATGAAATTGGAGATGCTAAACTGTGATGCAGTCATAATGGATCCCTCAGCAACCCCCTTGAGGATCTCTAAAGCTTGGATGCCCCTTAATTCTTCTTTATTGTGTCCCTATAGGGGATCGGGACTTTACACCCCTGCATCAGACACTAGATATTTAATCCCTGATTTCAGGTTGAGAGTTGTTCCATTCATTTTCATCATCAAGTCATTCCCAAAAGGAGAAATGTTTAAAGAGAAAAAAAATGATCATGGAGAAGTAGAAAAAATAAGCACTGGAATCAGACAAATCTGGTTTCAAATCTTGAAATGTCCTCTTAATAGCTAAAGTTATTTAACATTTCCGGGGTTCAGTTTACTTTTTTGGAAAATTACAATAAGAATACTTAGCTTAGGGGTGAGACTGGGGCTCAGTGGTAGAGCGTTCACCTGGCACATGTGAGGCTTTGGGTTCAATCCTCAGCACTACAGAAAAATAAAATAAAAATGTATATGTCCATCTATAACTAATATATATATAAGTATGTATATACATATCTATGTATATAAATAATATATATACATATATGTGTGTGTATATATATATATATATATACATCTAAAGAATACTTAGCTTATAAAGTTGTTTTGAAAATTAAATACAACAGTTTGTATAAAATACTTGGCATAGAGTAGGTACTAAATAAATGGAAGTTGTTATAATAATTGGATAAATTATTGTGCCGTGATGTCTGGTTTTCTCATTTGTAAGCTGGAGTGAATAAAAGCATAGAGCTACCTAGAAGTATAAATGGTATTACATCTTCTGTATTATCCAGCACATAGTAGGCACTCAGTCAACCTTTACTCCAATGAACGAATGTTTATTTAAAAGAATTTGTACGACAACACTCTTACTTTCAAAGAGCAGAGGAAAGTTTTATATTATTAACACATACACTGTGGCAAGAAAACTACAGTTAAAGAAAGAAGGAAAAATATTCCCCCTCCATAGCCAGGGACTGAGACCCAAGGCTAAAACTTTTTTCAGTTAGCCAGCCCCCAGCTGCCTTCATTAAATCCAAGAGTGACTTAACAAGGAGACATAGCTTTGGTGGAGAGAAGAGCTGTTGGGGCTTGGGAGCTCAGTGCCATTTCTTTTAGGAAGAAAGGCCACCCATACAGTCCATAGGAAAAGGGTGGCTAGAAGCTGTCCTGAGCTGAGGCTGCTTTATGGAAATGGACAGATCCAGGAGAGGGAGAGATGAATGGAAGGGAAGCCCTACCAATGTGCATGTGTAAAGTGATTGACACTCAATTGAATCTAAATCCACTCCTCTCCTCTCAATGAAACACCATCAAACTGGTGCCAGAGTAATAGTTTTGAACAGAAGCCAATCTAAATGTCAACCTGGGGTTCCTCAGCCTAAGGCAGCCTCTATAGCAGAGGCCTCAGCCCCAGGGTTTTAAGCAGTGAGTTAAGTAAGACTTATAGAGTAGGTATGGCTCCCTAAATTCACTGTGGCAAACGTCTACTGATTTTCAAAGACTGGAGGTATGGAGGAAAGACCCATAGATCTCAGGATACCCAGACATGGCCTGGTACCTGAGACATTTAGTATATATAAGTGAGTGGGACGAGCTATAGAATAACAGCTAGGCCTCACAAATGAATATATAAAGGAAGTCTTGTCCAATCTACCTCTAGGCCTTAAGGATGAGGGTAGGATATATGCATATAGCCTGTTAGGAAGCCCAGCAAGAAGACTGTTGTCCCTTCAAAACCTAAGGCAAAAAAGTACAGGGAAGAGAAAGATTGGAGCATTTTCCTGAAACAAAATACAGGCCTACTCCAGCCCTCAGAACCTACATCTCCTCAGATTCCAGGCCTCAGGCACATGAGACAGAGAATTACATCTGGGCTCCTTGCCCTCCCCTTAGCTCCAAATAAGGGCAGCAGTGTAAATGTGGGTGAGAGAGAAGGGATCATGAGACACAGTCATTAGCACCTGAACCACATCTCTTCCTAAACCAGAAATGCCAAGAGCAAAAAGAAATAAGTAAAGTGAGAGAGGGGTTGTGCTTCTGTCACATTAAATAGGAGACAGTGGGGGTGGGGAAAGGTGTTTTCACATCAGGACATCTATCACTCTGGCCAAAGGGAGGGGTTATGATCAGCACAGCTTCACATGTTTTCCCCCTCTTCATTCATCCTGCTTCCGCTTAGGCTTTTTGGGGTTTCGGGACCGACTCTTGGCTTTGCACAGAGGGCATATAGGTGCATTCCGGTGAATTTGCTGATGACATGACAAGCAGGCCTGGTGTAGGGAGCACAGGACAAAGAAAATTAGTGGTCAGATTTTTCTAGGCTTTGGCTCAGACTTCTAATACCCAGAGACCCAGAAAGCAATCATGATTTCCCATCAGAAGATAATAGTAATCATTAAGATCCAAGTAGAGGGCTGGGGATGTGGCTCAGGCGGTGGTGTGCTCGCCTGGCATGCGTGAGGCCCGGGTTCGATCCTCAGCGCCACATGCCAACAAAGATGTTGTGTCCACCGAGAACTAAAAAATAAATATTGAAAATTCTCTCTCACTCTCTCTCTCCTCTCTCACTCTCTCTTTAAAAAAAAAAAAGATCCAAGTAGAGATCAGTGTTCTTAGAGACAATAGAAGATGAGAGTGAAGGATTAGAGTGATCAGATTAAAAGAGATGCTGAAAAAATGTCTGCAAAATGTGGAAATGATGCAAAATGAGGACTACATGTTCATTCAGCATTATACTAGAACACTGTTAACAGGTCCGTTCAAGGATTATTTAATTTCCTAGATTAGGATTTAGCAAAAATTTTAGGTAAAGGCCAGATCGTTAAATATTTTAGACTTTTTTCATTATATGGTCTCAGTTAAAACAAAAACTCAACTGTTTTACATTAAAGAAACTATAGACAATACATAAAAAAATGTGTGCCCATAAATCATTTAAAAAAGCAGGTAGCAGTTCAAATTTGGACCATAGGCTATAGTTTGCTGGCCTCTACTCTAGGAAAATGTTTCTTTGGTTGACTGTTTACTGTTGATCAGATTCTGAGATGTTACCCTGATAAACTGCAAATGGTTTTTGCCCAATAGAGATGCAAATTAGTCTTTTCAAAAGAAAAGGTAACCATAAAGATCACAGATTTATTTCCCTGTAGAATATGAACCAGTTCTGTATCTAACTTGGCAAATTTATGTCAGCATCCCTTTCTTTTGTTGATTATATAAATATATGTTTCTCAAATGCTCTTGGAAGCTGTTTTGTAATTCTGTTGGCTCCCACATTTAATGACACATGCTCACTATATATTTGTGTAAAAGTTAGACTTCTAAATTTAGAAAGTTGTACTTCAGCAAAAGCCTGAAAACCTCCCTGCATTCTGTTCCCTATGAGATGAGGAACTACAAACCAGTGGGGCCAACAGAACAACTCTTTGTGTGTGTGCCAAGCAAAGGCTGCTTAAGAAAGACCCAAAATAAATTAGACCAAAGTTCCAGACTCAGCATTCCATGTCCTTCCATAGGAAGATATTTTGCATCCTCCAAAGCCCCTCTCTAGCTCACTCACCTTCATAGGTGGAGGCTGTTGCCTGAAGGTAGCCGTCTGCCGAGTGTCCTGCTTCCTAGCCACTTGAAGTTGTTGGGCAGCAGCAGCTGCAGCGGCTAGGGACTCAGGGATGGGGGGCTCCTGAGGCTCTGTCTGCCATTCTGCTTTCTGCTTCTCAAAGTAACTTTGGAGATGAGAAACATTGGCTGGATCATTCTGAAAGCAAGGACAACCTTGCCCCTCCTAAATACTCCATGGCACAGAACCAAGAGTTGGACTGTGGCTTACTCTAGAAAGTTCCTGTACCTTCCTTTGCACAAAGGTATTTTCCCTGGGTACCAGGCTTATTGTCTGTTAGGAATGGTAACCCTTCTGCTACTTGGCTCTGACAGACTCAGATGATAAAGAAATCTCAGGGATAGCAAGGTCATTAAAGAACATTTACTTCTATTCTCCATCCCATGATCATTTTCAGTATTCTTATTAAGTGTCCCCAGGTCTATGTGTATGGACTTGCAAGAATAGGAAGCTCACAACTTCCACAGACAATCTGCTCTACGTTTATGCTTCCTTTGACTGGGCTGAACTCTGTCTCCCTTTAAGGCAAGCCTACTTCTCCAAATCTTTGATTTTGAGATGAAGTCCCCAAGCTAGTCCCTGGACCAGGAAAATTAAGCCTTTTGTGTTTTCAAAGATTTATGAACACCCCTTCTAAACCCTGACTTAGAAAGTAACCCCTTAAGAGTCATAGAAAAGTCCTGTATTGTCAGGCTGGGGTTGTGGCTCAGTGGTAGAGCTGCTTGCCTAGCACGTGTGAGGCCACATAAAAGCACCACATAAAAAAATAAATAAAATAAAGGTATCTGTCTACACCTACAACTAAAAAAATAAAATATTAAAAAAAGAAAAGTCCTGTATTGTCAAAATCACACAAACAATTCTAAAAGTCATCTAGTAATTCTAGTCCAATCATCCTTCTTCAGGTATAAGAGCCCACCACAGAGACTTTTTCAAAATCATAAAATGAATCGGCCACTGACAAACCCAAGCTCAGTATCCTGACTTTCAGGCTAGATTTTTGTGCCTATGTGAGTGTGTATGTTCTTATGTGCTATGTTATAGGGACAAGGGCAGGCAGCTTACTCCAAGGAGAGCTTCTCCTCCTCTTCACACAAGTCAGGGAGCCTCTGCAGGCCCAGAGTCATGCGTAGGGCATCCACATGCTCCTTCAGTGGCTTATATTCATCATGCAGGCGCCGGGTAGACTCTAGCAGCTTGTTTAGGTCATTCTCAGATTGTTTGATAGTGTTTTCCATCTGCAAAGCAGAACAGGAAAGGCACAGAGAAAAAAATACCAAATTCTCACAGACACTTTAAAACTGAGTGGATACTAGGACAGACTCTAGAGCCAGTCACATACTTTCTACAATGAATGGTCAAGCCTCAGTTTCTTCATCTCTATGATGGTGATAGTTTAATAGTGAACATGTCATGTAATCTTGGTGAAGATTCAATGGTCAAATTCATACAAAGCACTCAACACAGGGGCTAGAAGAACAAAGGCTCAATAAATTATAGTTATTGCTCAAACATATCATTTCAGAGTGGGATGGCTTTAGAATCTATTTTAGTTCACCTTACCACCATTTTGCAGGTCAGAGAACTGAGCCTTAGAGAGAAGAATGGACTTCTCTTAGGGAAATACTTCTTAAGACAAAGTCTACATAAAATCTCAGGGCTTCTGTCTCTAAGACCAATGATCTTTCTCTAGAAAAGTCTCTAGATCAATGGTTTTCAAAAAATGTTGTTGCCAGATTATTAGCATTAGTATAATTCAGAAACTCATGAATGCAAATTCTCAGGCTGCAATGTAAATATATGGAACTAGAAACTATGGGGTAGAGTTCAACAATATGTGTTTTAACAGGCCCTCCAGGTGACTCTGATGCTCAAGACTGAGATCCACTGTTCTAGATTTGCCGACCCTCTCAGGAAAATATCTTATTCATTTCACTGGCTCTGTATCCTTGATTAGCTGGCAGAAAAACTGTCAATTCCTCATGAGATCCAGAATCCTGTGATCTTTGACATAGAAAATTCCAAGTGCCTACCTCATTTATATTTCTTTTAAGATCTAAGGCCTGACAGCAGGAGGAAATAAGTATTGCTACATAAATGTGTTTCCAAAAAGCAGAAAGTTAGCTCCTTCAAATGTCAACTTTTAAAAAGTAATTATTGTCATAGGCTCTAAGAATTGCAAAGGACCTTATAGATCAGTACCTCCAACTTTCTTCCTAGTGAAGGAATCATCAGTACACCATCCCTAATTCTGCATGAATAATTTCAAAAGAGAGAGAAGCGTATCACTTTAGTAGTTAACTTTCCAATTTCCAAAGAGTCTCCAGGGAAGACACTCTAATGAGGGAGCCCCACCTTAGTAGGCAGGCAAACTTTATTTATTTGGTCTGATTGGAAGCTTTGGAGCACCTGGAGCTGTACTCCAGAGGCAAAAAACTACTGTACTTTTTAAAAAGGACAGGTATTAACTCTTAAGACTCCCAAAACAAGAGCACATCAGAGCTGAAAGAGCCTTTGGAGATTATGGAGTTCTTCCCATAGTGCAGAGAAAAATTGAGACAGAGAGATGAGACTTGTCCAGTAACAGAGTCAGTCAATAACAAACCCTGTACTCATCTCAAAAATCATGGATTCTTCCACCTCATCATAGCCTGATGATTGTTCCCCCAGAGTGGCCACAGCCATATCTAAAAAGAGGCCACAATAATCACTAATACCTCTTCCTTAATGGGCCCAGATGTAGGCTCCAGGCAGCCAACCACATACCACATTGATGTCAGCATGGATCAGTCTGAGTTCCTCCACATGAGCCATCTTCTCCTGTAACAGGAGGTCCATCTCCTGCTTATATTCTTTCAGGTGCCTCTCCTCTGATTCAAGTGCCTCAAACTCAGCCTTCAAACGGGCCTTGATCTTTTCCATCTGCAGGGTCTTGTTTCTGAAATCCCCCAAAGCATTAAATAGGCCATCAAAAGAAGGAAGGAAAATGGAGATGGAGGACAGAGTTAGGTCCTGAGGCAGGGCTTTCTTTCTAAGTCGTCTTTCCAAATGTCCCTCTCTCCATGAAGAACCAACCGCAAGCCACCCCACCCCCAATGCAGGATATGCTTTCTTTCAAAATAAAAGCTCAGTGGGTTTCAAACATGGTTAGTTTGTTCCCTTGGGGTACTTGCAAACATGAGTCAGGTTTTGGATATTAGCTAGATTCAAGAGAGAACAGTACTATTATTTAGGGGATATGGGCCAGAAATGCTAAATAACTTCTCAATGCACAGGAAAATTCCACACCACAAAACTCCCACCCAAGATGCTAACAGTGACCTCTTGAGAAACCATAGAGACGGACAACAGTGGGAGGACAACAACTTTTCCAATAAACTTTCTGCAGTGATGGAAATGTTTTGTATCTGTAGTTTCCAATATGGTAGTCCTATGCACACATGGGTGTTGAATACTTGAAATGTGGCTAGTGTAACTGAGCAACTAAGTTCTGTATTTTTTTAAAATTTCAATGAACTGAACTATTTAAACAATCACATATGACTAATGTCTCTCAAACATCACAGCACACCCATCAATTTTAGAAGAGAATCATTGTGGGTCACTTCTCTCTAAAAAAAAAAAAAAAAAAAA